ACCTTAATGTCGAGATGCATGTGACCCAACACTCATTCCAAAACCCATATGACACTATGACTTTAAGTTCAAGTGGAAGACATTCAACTACCAGCTTGTTCGACCTAAATATTGGCATCGCACAAGAACCATCATCTCCACCAGAAGAACTTCTTTGTGAGCCAGGTGTAGATGGTGCTGAGACTGGACTATTCATTGAGCCAAAATCACCACATGTATGAAGTTGATTATGGTGCAATGTACGAGCCATAATTTATGAATGTGCCTAACGTTGGTGACTATGAATTTAACTCATCAGTCAATGATGGTGAGTTATATATCAGAATGAAGTTTTCATCGAAAGAATAAGTAATCATCAGTAATAACAAATACATTTTGTTGATCAGGGATGGCTGATGATGTACCACCTCTATAGAATAATGACCCTGGAGGTGTTTGACTAACCATCTAATCGCTCATAGAAAACTGTGAAAATTGTGAAAACATAGACGTCGATGAATGTGAAAAACTAGGTCGAATGTGTATGAGCTTGTGGTGGCACATCACATGCCAAATAAGCAACATATGAAGTTCACATTGTATCTACAAGCATAGAATTGTAATATCTGCCGGAGGGGTCATAAAACCCTACAGTGATGGCATCAAAACCTGATGTGCTGGTATCTAAAATGGAGGCAATGGCGTTTGAAACATCTATGGAGCCATGTGAAATGGTTGCATCCCCATTTGGAACTACTGCGGAATATAACCCGGTGTAGACGATGGTTGTTGCGATGGTTCCGGTGATGTAATTGAAGATGAACCGAAAGTGTCTACTCTCTGTCTACAAGTCGAGGGACAATACGACTATGACATCAGTCTTCTTTCTCGACGCCGATGAATGCTCCAGACTTGTGTTTCTTCGAAAAACATGAACGACTTACCATTTGTATTGAACCACTGGTAGTAGTCATCCACAACCGAATACTGATCCACATAAATCGGCTCCCTATGGGGAATGCGTCCACGTTGATCCTCCCACATCATCACCCACTCACTGTGTCTCATAAGCCATTTGATTTCTTTTTTCCCCCGTCTATCGATGTTATGCAAATTGTTAAGATTCATAGGTGCTTATAGAATAGATTGTACGAAACTAAATTGTCGGAGTACGCGATCAGTCGGATGCCACTCGATAATAACATAACATATCATATGGACAACCGCCATACATACATTGAGTAGGCCACTCATATTAGGTGGGATACAATGCCTCATTTCGTTAGTAGCATAAGGAGTCAATTGAAACTACAACAAATATATATAAGTCTTTTCAAAATGATATTTTAATTATGTAACGATAATTAAAAGTAAATAAAAAAATTGAACACATACTCGTGTAATAGTTTTTTATCAACGAGTTGTCGAATTTCTTCTAATTCGTCTGGTATATCATGATAATCTTTCCTTACACATGACCATCTATTCAGTGTAAAAAAATATTCATTATATACTCAAAAATATTATTTATATACAAACTCGGTATTGAAATTACCTCAGCAATAACGATAAGACTAACGGGTTCTTTACCACCGGACATAAAAAGGGCATGCGATACCACGCCCATGATTACAAAAGCAGGAGACATCCGTCAATAGCATTTTTTTGATAATCAGTTGCTTGGCATATTTCTCTATACAGAGATGTCAAAATTGCGGAGCCCTAACTGAATGACCCGACAACTCGAAGATCAATTAGGTGATGCAACCACATACAATGAACTTGGTTACGAGATTTATCGGGCATCAAGATCCCTTCTATCAGTCGTAATATGCAAGCCCGGGCAACTCTTTTAGCATGCTCCTCGAAACATTCTTCACTCAAATGTCACCAACCATGATAACGATATTCGACCACCATTGAAATCAGGCGGGATACATCCAACATACTCATCGCACAACGAATTTGAAAGGTAATCGTACACTCCCCACACGAAAGATAAAACGTGTGTGTCTCCGGTCTCCACCTCTCGTGCAATGCAGAAATAAGATTACTTTCAAAGGTACAATGCCCTTCATATCTAACTATGTAACCGAGTACATCCTCCATTAAATACGAACAAACACAACTTGATATCTCTAACTTAGCATTACGAATAAATGGGTATAATATATGATCATTCCCCTAATTAAATAAATAATATACAAATTAAAATATAAACTAATACTAATAAATAAATAAAATATTTGCAACAATTAACATAACACAATCATAAAACTAATACAAATTAAATAAATTGTTATCGTATCAGCAAAATGACTCGCTATATGATTCCCATCTAAACGCATCAATTTACTTCCATTTTATAACTGCAAAACATAAAAAAATAGGCAGTAAAATATAATAAAATAATTAACTATTTAATAATTATAATATAATAACAATGATTTTACCTTCTAATAATAATAACAGAACCTACTTGAGCTTTGTTAGAATGAGTGATAAGAAGAGATTATTTTCCTTTTTGGTATGATTTAAGGATTGTATGAAATGGTATTTATAGGGGAAGGGGGGGAGGTAATTAAGGCGGATAGTTGGGGTAATTTTGGAAGGTGCGGATGGTGATCTGCGCCTTCACCGTGTGTCAGAACCTCAGGAAGGCACAGATGATGATCAGCGCTTTACCTTACATGGCGCCAGCTCGGACGAACCCAGGAAAACACGGATGGTGATCCGTACCTTTTTTCCACGCTATCACAAAGTGTGTTAGATCGATAAAATTGGGACAATTGATAATAACAAAATTAACAAACAAAGGATTTATTGCTTCTCTTTTTAGTCAAAACCTTGACATCAACTTCATTTTTTATCAATAATATTATAAAAACTAGTGTACATATAAATTTTGACGATAAGAGGATACTAGGGTGGTGTTTGTTTTTGCAGAGGTAAAAAATCAGCAGTCTGCAGACTACATCTGTAGGCATCTGCAGCAGAAGAGGTGGACCAAAAGTCTGCAGTCTGCAAGAAGAAGACTATTTGTTTTTAACATCTGCAGATTGCTAAAATGAACTGAAATATAAATAAATTGTTTTTTTAAACTTAAAAGAGTTTTGCAATATTGAAATTTAAATAATTTTAGTTTTACAATACTGAAATTTATACTGAAATTTAAATAATCCATACAACTATAATAATAAATTATTTAAAATAAATCAATTCATATTTTAAAATAAATCAATCCATACTAAAAAATTATTTAAAATAAATCAATCCATACAACTACAATAATAAATCAATCCATATTTTAAAATAAATCAATCCATACTAATAAATTATTTAAAATAAATCAATTCATATTTTAAAATAAATTAATCCATACTAATAAATTATTTAAAATAAATCAATCCATACAACTAAAATAGTAAATCAATCCATATTTTAAAATAAATCAATCCATACTAATAAATTAATTAAAACAAATCAATTCATACAACTACAATAATAAACCAATATATTTTAAAATAAATCAATCCATACTACTAAATTATTTAAAATAAATCAATCCATATTTTAAAATAAATCAATCCATACTAATAAATTATTTAAAATAAATCAATTCATATTTTAAAATAAATTAATCCATACTAATAAATTATTTAAAATAAATCAATCCATACAACTACAATAATAAATCAATCCATATTTTAAAATAAATCAATTCATACTAATAAATTATTTAAAATAAATCAATCTATACTAATAAATTATTTAAAATAAATCTCCATACTAATAAATTATTTAAAATAAATCAATCCATATTTTATAATAATTTATTTTAAAACAAAATTATTTTAAAATAAATTATTTTAAAATAAATAACCTTATTAAATTATTTAAAATTATTTTAATAAATATCCATATTTTATAATTGTTCTTGAAGAAGTTTGAAGACCTTTAAAGACATAAAACCATGTCTGCACCAAGAAGAGCTCGCGCAGACGTTAGAAGAGCTTATGTCTTCTAAAAACCAAACGGTCTACGAAGCCTAATGTCTGCGCATGATCTGCGTGGCGCAGACATAAGAGGTTTGAAGAGCTGGAACAGTGAAAATAAACATAGGCTAGGAAGCTTTAACATATGAGAAATATATAAAATGAAGCCAATAATGTTTCTTTTCTTAAATATAAGTCAAAGAAATTTCAGTAAGACATTTCCATGTACTAATGAGAATTATATATGAATCCAATTCAATATTATTTGATTGCAAGCTCCTCTCTAATAAATTCTACAACTACAGTATCAATACTACTCCTGTGATTAAATTACACTTTAAATTCCTTGTTTGAAATACATAATATTTTTTTTTCATTTTACATAGCTTCCTTTTGATTATTTTATGTTTATTATCTTTAAACCCAAAAATAATTAATTAAAAGTATAATTTCGAGGTTTTTTTCAGAAAAAAAATGTTCAAGCATTATCCAAATAAAAAAGCAAAGTCGAAATTAGTTTTGGGTTTTCTGAATATTTTTTGGTTCACCCAAGGGAACATGTGCAGGACAAAAAAAGCTGGCATTGTTGGAAGGAGATTAGGGTTTGAAAATTTGAATCATATGGGCAGCCTTCCTGTTTCGAGTTTTCTGCATGGACAAGGGATGGATGGGGTTCATGTCATGTGCTCCTTTCATTATTCGAATTAATTCAATTTTTTTTTTTGAATTTCGAGTTTAGTTTAAATTTTGAGTTTCAATCGAATTTGAATTTATAAAATTTTGAAAATTAAAAAATTAAGATCACATCGTCTAAATCTTTAACTAAGTAGTATTATAGGGGGGAAATTTTGGTACGGATCAACATTGCACACTTGGGATGCTGCTTTCTTCTATTTTCTGCTCATTTAGGCAACAATAGGGAAAATAATTTACTACATTCATCTATTCGAGCATGAAATGAAATGAAACTGCAAAATTGATAAGAAAAATTTGAACAATCGTTGGATATCAGGTACACCATGTTTCCATTATCCTTTACACTATCTTTTTCAGGACTTGTATCAGCACTCTGATTTTCAAATAAGAAATATATCAGCTAAAGCTAACTTGCCAATGCAAAGCTACCTCATTTCCTCCAATTTAATGTAAAAAAAAAAAAAAAACTCTTCTCCTTATTCAGCTGGCAGCCACGGCATCGGCTCTAGGACTAGGGTCCAAGAGTTGATGTAGCTTGGAACTCGAGTCTGACTTTTCCTCGCACATTTCACCCTCTTTGTCTTCTTTCTTGCTCAAAATATTTTCCCTTGCATGTCCGAGTTCATCCTTTTTCAGTCCCTCCTGAATTGCAATACCCTTCACAGGTCATGAAGGGGGAAATCTCGCATGTAGCAGGTTAAGCTATCAAAAAAGGAAAATGCTAAAGCCTTAAATGTGCTTGTTTACCACTAATATAGCATTTTCTAGCCTTAGTTTCTCTGACTTTTCGGTTAATTGATTTATTTCAGATCTGAGTGTTGCATTCTCTGACGTCAAGGATTCAACTTTACGAGCAAGCTCTTCGGTCTCAGCCTACGTAAGAATATATCGCATTAGCTCCATTATGATTCATGTGCATACTTCATTATCTCTGGTGAAATGGCTCAAAGAAAGAATCATGAGATTTTAAGAGTGGGAGAAATAAGATGTATTTCTTGTACCTGCTTCCTCAACCTTGACCTTCTAGCAGATTCGATATTAGATTGTTTCCTCCTCTCCCGTTTCAGCTCTCGTTCATTCTAGTTAAATTTGATTCAAAACTTAGCAACGAATTCAGACAGAACAATCCCCCCTTCTCATACTAAAATGAAGATAGGATAGAAAGAATAATAGATAAAAGAGAATTCGATTCACAAATACCTGCAAACTTGTGCATGTGGTCATGCCAGGAGAAACGGTTGCAATCACCTCCCGTGCAGCTACTGGATTAGACTTTGCCTCAATTTTCCCATCTCCACCTGCCAACACACAGACCATACATCAATAAAACTAAAACTCCGTACCTGTCCCAAGATTCAATTTATTTATCATTCTTTTCCAAAAATAACAAAAAGCTTTTGCATAACGAGGTCATGAACCTAAGCACTACGTCTAGAAGTTCGACAGATGCACTGCAGATTTCTAATGAGATTTCCTCATAGTAGGGGAAATTAAGAGGTGTTCCTGAATACTTTAAAAAAAATAGATGCCACACCATTTCCACTGAAGAGGAGGATAGTATGAATTAGCCTAACTAAAATGTTGTCTTTCCAGTTCAACTCTATTATTCATCAATAATTTACTAGCTGAAGAACGGAATCATACCAGTGGTTGGTGTCCCCTCCCTGCTTCTTTTTCGTCTACCTTGATCCGTCTGACAGAAGGTGTAAAGTGACAAAGATAAAAGAAGGCATGCTTGCCTTAATCATTCTCCGAATAACTTAAAAGGAAAATCGAAAAAAGAAGATGGAAGCAGATTAAACAATTGGGAAGGAGATCTCACCCTGGTTGTATTCCCATCACTACCATCAGTGGAACCTTGAGTCTCCACAATGTTCACATGATTACAGAGTTGGTCAAACAAAAAGGGATCCACTAGAAAAACTTACTTGGTTGTGCTATCTCCTACAAATAGGTTGCTGAAAAATAGCTTCGATCTAAATAATACCAGTTTGTCCTGATAAGATTAACAAACCTCCGGAACGGTCTAGGTTCAGCTCTTCCCTCAGCATTCTCAGCAGTACCATTGCCTATTGATATTGCAAGGCCATCAAATCCTTTAAGCTTCTTCATTAAACCGTGTTCAGTATTTCCAGAGGACTTTGTAGGTGTATCCGCAGGGGCTGCAGCCTGGGTTAAAATGTTTGGGTTATTTACAACCTCTGCTTAAAGCACAAAGCATAGACTGACAACTTCCCAGCTAACTCGTTGAAACAGTATATGCGCAAGCAAATCAACAATAAATTTAGATAAAAACAACAACGGTTTCGAAAGGATCGTCCAAAAAAAAGTCACTCACTGCAGGTGATGATCGAACACCATGACCATGTAATGATGCATGGAGTTCAGAAGCAAACGGATAAAAAATGAATTAGAATATAATATGATACAATAAAAGCAGCATTCTAAAGTGTTATTTAGAGAAACAATGCAACTTTTTTGACTCGATGTTTCTAATTGTACCGGTAAAGAATCAAGTGAGCACTGTCTAGTTGGTAACCATTAAAAAGGACTACTATCTAAACTCGAAACACAGGGCAGGAAGAAGAAAGAGTATTATAAAACAGCATGTGTACTAAAGATACTCAAACATCATAAAATACACATAGCCGGTACTCATCTCTAAATCTACGAAACAAAGTAAAGGGATACTCCAATTAAGAGATAGCAACAAAGTAAACTTACCGGAGGAACTGCAGGATGTACATATAGGGGGGAGGAGCATGGCCTGATGCCACAGCTGAATTGTAATATGGCGGCATACCGTAATATGCCTACATATGTAATAAGAACAAATAAAGTCCCCATTAGAAACTATATTAAGAACGGGTTGGGCATTGCAATGCCTTGAGAATGTCAGCACTAAAGAGGGAAATAAGAGCATGCATAAAGTAGATTACCTGCATAGCATGAAAATTGTGCTGATCCTGTGAATAGACAAAGATTGGTCGATACTTAGATATCAGCTTCAAAAGTTCATCTCCATAGAAGATTAGATTGCCTTTAAAACTTTCTCCCTAAAATAAATTGGAACATGATAACAAGCATAGTGATTGATCTTTTCTAGCACAAAAAAACTCCAGCTTAATTCTACTTTCGACAGTTAATTATAAATAATCTTTTAGCTTACAGTTGGCATCGATGAAGAAGATTTATCAGACTTAGGGGACTTCCCTTCATCCTTGTTTTCCATGGTCAAGGCACCAAAGTTGAACCCTAAGTTCTAGAGGGTTCACCTCTCTGTGCCAGACTATCTTCAATTGGGGAAAAAAGACTGCATTATCTTCACTCAAAAACGGAGCAAAGGATTGGGGATCTTTGCTTCAATTTTCCCTTCTTTTCAAAATCCGAAGAGGCGAGGCGGAGGAGGCACTGGGAGAAGAAGGTGATACCCACGTCAGCAAAAACGTGTCGTTGAAACAAACAAGTGTACAAATCCACCGTATAAGAGGGGGACACGGTGGCTGGTTGAGCTGGCATATCGGTATTGGGACTGATCATTTATGTCTTCCAACGTCACCTTGTCTGACACGTGTTTGTTATTTAGTGAGTATACGCATCTGGGGTCCAAAGTCCAACCTGTTCCACCCGTCATTTGGGCCTACGTGGCCACGTTTCATTGATTTATTTTGTGATTTACGATAAATATTATAGTATATCTCCTTATCGAAGTGATGAATTCGGTTAAATATATTATTTTAATGATCTCAATTAAGTGTGTACCATATGAACCATTATTTTAATATATTTACTCTTTTATTATTTTTATAAAATTATTATTAAATATAATTAAAAAATTAAAAAATGATAAAACTCGTCACTTCTATGGGAATAAATCCCTTAAATTTAAAATATTAACTGTTTAGAGTAGTTGGACAACGAGCAACTACAACTGTCACTTTCCAATTGTCATCATAGAACTCGTTACTTGGAGATGACAAGTTCAGTCGAATTTAATTTAAAACATATATATTAATTAAATAAATAATCTTAAAAAGGTAAATACATAATAATTTTATTAAAAAAATAAGAAAGTTATATATATTAAAATAATGGTTCACATGGAGCTCACTTAACTGGGACCATTAAAATAATATATCTAACCGAACTCGTCACCTCGAGGTGACAAGTTTCTCCTGTACCCTTGGAGATGACAAGTTCAGTCGAATTTAATTTAAAACATATATATTAATTAAATAATAATCTTAAAAAGGTAAATACATATAATTTTATTAAAAAAATAAGAAAGTTATATATATTAAAATAATGGTTCACATGGAGCTCACTTAACTGGGACCATTAAAATAATATATCTAACCGAACTCGTCACCTCGAGGTGACAAGTTTCTCCTGTACCATTTGCCGTAGATTACAAAATAAAATCTGGAGTGCCTATTGGTCCAAATAACCTTGAACCCTCGGTATTGGGCCAAAAAAACCCACTTGCAATAGCTCATGGCCATCAGGCCATGGTTCATGGCTCAGCGGACCACAAAAACATGCAAAGGAGGCAAGCCTGCCACTAAAAAGCCCGTTCTGTTATGAGCGTTGGCCCACGCTTTGTTATATTTATTTTGGGCTGCATGTGTCAATGAGAGTTTCACGTGCATTAGTTATTTAGGGATAAATCAGTATTTATTTTTTTGAATCTCATCATTTCTTTAATTTTTTATTTAAAAGTTTTTATCTAAATTAAATTAAATTTTATAAAATTAATATTCCAAATTTTGAATCTCATAAATTAAGATTTTTCTCTCTTTAATATATACCTTCTTTTTTTTTATTTTATCAATTCCTTTTAAGAGCTTTTAAATTTTAAAGTTTTATCTACTTTAACCCAATATTATCATAAGTTGCTTTTTTCACTATAAAATAAGTCACCGTCGAGCACTATCAGATCAATGTTGACGAGTATTAATTGAGTTATCTTAATGATTAAAGAGAACGTTATTTCTTTTTGAAATTTTAAGTTCGAATAAATATATTTATAGAGTGTGTATATATTATTAATAGGTAAAAAATATCATTAATAGATATTTAATTTGTAATTACTCCAAAAACATCAATGTTGATATCTCCATGAGTATTTGGGGATAACTATCATAGTCTTAGCTTGGGATTTTAGGGGTTGATTCTTGTTGGTCAAGTTCTGGTGATTGAATTGTATGATTCAAACTTCACTGAGGCATGGGCTCCCTCTCACACAAAGATTTTAATTATGTGTCGAATTAAATTGATTTATTATTATTTTTTATTGAGAGTGATGTTACTAATCCACTTCCCATCAAAAGATGACACTCCCTTTATCCAGAGCCATTCTTCATTTCCGACACGTATTGGTGGTGCCGTCGGTGGCGACGGCAAAGCTGTCAACTTGTTCAACTCAAGATTCCAAATGTGAATTTAAAGCACTCTTCAACTTCGGGGACTCAAATTCCGACACAGGCGGGTTTTGGGCTGGTTTCCCGGCACAGTCGGGACCTTTCGGCATTACCTACTTCAAGAAACCAACCGGTCGTGCCACTGATGGCAGAGTCATACTCGATTTCTTGGGTAAACTAATTTTTGTATTTATTGTACGAATCATCAATTGTTTTCCATATTCGCAGCCAGAGGCGGACCCAGAAGCCTTTGCAAGAGCCCCAGGATGGCACTTTTCGCACACAAGCTCTGGGATTACCGTTTATTAGCCCGTACTTGCAATCGATTGGATCTGATTACAGGCATGGAGCTAACTTCGCAACGCTGGCTTCCACTGTGCTTTTGCCCAACACTTCATTATTTGTTACCGGAATCAGTCCTTTTTCTCTGGCCATTCAGTTTAACCAAACGAAGGAATTCAAGGCCAAAGTTGTCGAACATCCTTCCACGAATCAAAAAGGTACTACACCACCAGGCCACCAGAAGAATAATAAAATGCTAGAGAATGTTTCTTTTTATTAAAGGTCGTTAGTGTTGATTACTGATTGAAGAACCACAAATTTTATATCATTTAATTAAATTTTATATTTTTGTTGATGATTTAATTTCGTTTGTAAAATTTCATAGTTTGTTTCTTGACATAAAATTTTGGGTCCGATCCTGATTACTGTTAGGATCGACGAAGCTGCCTTCACCGGATATCTTTGGGAAATCACTCTACACCTTTTATATTGGTCAAAATGAGTTTACTTCAAATTTGAAGGCCAATGGTATCGAGGGAGTGAAGCAATATCTTCCCCAAGTGGTTTCCCAAATCGCTGGCACTATCAAGGTAGGGAGCTGAATAAGTTCGTGATAGTTTTATACCCCCAAATTTTACTTCAAAGTGCTGCATTTTACAGGAGCTATATGGTCTAGGGGGTCGTACATTTTTTGTTCTATATCTCGCACCCGTCGGTTGTTACCCGGCATTATTAGTGCAGCTGCCTCACGAGACGTCGGACTTGGACGGATTTGGTTGCCTCATCTCTTACAACAAGGCCGTGGCTGATTATAATAGCATGTTAAAAGAGGCACTAAGCCGAACAAGACGAGATCTTCCCGATGCTTCTTTGATAAATGTGGACACTCATGCTGTACTTCTACAGCTTTTCCAGGATCCCACATCCCATGGTAATAACACTGATGTTGAAATATATATTGATGGTAAAAAGTAAAAATGGGATCATTGAGGTTTAGTCCTTTTTTTATTTGGGTGGATGGAGAGTTACGGTCAAGGATTTTACATGTAAAAGAGATGAGAGATAAAGAGGAAAGCCTCAGAGAAAGAGTCCGAGGAAGAGAACCCTGGAGTTGTCAGATTTAGCGTCGTAATGACTATATAAGTAGGTTTGTAGGACAAATAAATATAGCTGATAATAAATTTAGTTATGACAAATCACTTAAGACTATCAGTGGTCCAAATGGCACAAAGCTTCGAGGAAACCATTTTTTGTTTATTTTGCAGGGTCTTAGATATGGCATCAGAGCTTGTTGTGGATATGGTGGTGGGAACTATAATTTTCAGCCAGAGGTTTATTGTGGGAATAGCAAGGTGATGAATGGAATCAAAGTGAGGGCATGGGCTTGTAAAGACCCCAACAACTATGTTAGCTGGGATGGGATACATGCGACTGATGCAGCCAATAATCTCACTACACTGGCCATTCTCAACGGCTCCATCTTCGATCCCCCTTTTCCTCTTCATAAGCTATGTAATCTCCATCCTATTGGTTGATAAATGCTGCAACAAAACTCTGCTGTTGCTTTTATTTTGCCCATCTAGTTTAATTGCAAACTTAGAGATATAATTTTTTCTCCACCTACAACCCTTTGTAGGCTTCTGGTGTAAAAAAAACCCATGATGAAGATGCTTGTTTTTGCTATGATGTTAAAACGGTTAATTCAGCCACCGACCGAATCAAATTACCATTAACCGAATTAATTAAACTTTTTTTCTTTAACCATTAACCGAATCGAACTTTTCTTTGAAAATATTAACCAAACCAAACATAGTTCGATTATTTCGGTCGGTTAACCGAATTAATCGAATTTTATTATAATTTTTTATAATTATATTAATTCAAATATAATATATGTATATTTTTTATTTGAGTTACAAATTAATTAGGTATTGATAATTTAAAAAATCTAGTGTGATTAAAAAAATAATCGGATATTAATTTTTAATGGGCCTGAGTTTAAAATAGGTTTATAATATATATAATATTTAATAATTTCGGTTAATTAATCGATTTCAAACCGAATTAACAGTTAATAGAATATTGAAAAAAAATAAATCGTTCCCGACCGAACTATTTCAGTGGCCGACCGAATTAATCAAATTAATTCAATTCGGTAAATTAATTCGGTTAAAACCAAATAATGAACACCCCTAGTCTTTACGGAAAAACAAGTATTAAGATGCTAATCCAAGAAAACAATGAAACTAATTCAGTAATTCGGATTGGTTATAATTTTTAAGGGTAAAGTACATAAATAGTTCCCGATTAGAGGGAACAACTTTGTTAAGTCTCGCGGCTATTAAAAGTTACAAAATGATCCATTGATTATAGAGTGTTGCTTTGTTGAGTCCTCTAACTATTAAAAGTTATAAAATCGTCACTCAACTATTAATAAGTTCCAAACTCGTTCTTTCCGTTAAAAAATTAGTGATTGCATGAGTTGTACATCAACCTGTTGATTGTGATATGATAAAATATGATCCCAGAATTGTTAGAGATCTATTTTGTGAATCGGCTCTCTATTTACATTATGTCATCGAGTCATTGGTTGAAATACTATGTCATGACCCAATGTTTGAAACCGACGAGGCGTTACTACACATCATTAAAATATTATTTTATCATATTCCAATTAACCGATTAAATCCAATTTTTAATTAAAAATAATGAGTTTA